GAACTATTTAGACTCCAGAGGATTTACTGAACTTTGGGAATGAGTGTGCAGACTCTGACAGCTGCTCAGAAAATATCTCTCTAGCTGTAAATTAATTAGATCCAAAAGTGTTTAAGAAAGTGAGGCTTTCTTGTGTCCATATAGGTTGCATTATGGCTGTGAGCTTGATTGAAATCCCTGAACCTCCAGCTGCTCAACTCATGAGCCAACCATAAAAACTTCAGTTCCTGCAGTCTACTCATGAGGAGAAGCTATCTGGAGTGCAAGTGGGTGATCTCATGATCTCTCTTTTACCCGGAAAGACTGCACCGGCCAGAATTCACCATCTGGCTGCTGATCTTTGTCACAATGCCATCCCCATTCCTTCAGGGAAGTCTATTCCATCATAAATCCTCACTTGGAAGTCTAAGACATGAGACACTTGATGTACTACTTAGAGGGAATCTAAGTGCCTGTCCTGTATTTGTTGCAATGTAGGAACTAGGTTCTCTTAAACCCTGGAAAAAGAGAAACCTGAGGATACTCCCCTTCCAAGGAATCCCATCCTATGCAGGCTGTAAAGGGCTGCATCAAAAGGCTATAAAAACAGCCACAGGGCCACAGTATAATAATGTGGAGTCCTTGGGGTTCTTTGAGCAGAAGACTGACTGAAGTTGTTACCTAGCCAGGTAACGAAAAGTTTGCAAGGAAACAACCAAGCTCAGAGAACCCCAAGGACTCCACAGTTCAACCCTGAGCTACACATATTCTGTTCTATTAATAATAATGTTTATACAAATGCATCCATTGTTCATTGAGATCTCACTTAAAGCTTCCATAGCCTGAAAACATAAATAACTTTCGGGGTGGGGTGGGGTTGTTCATAGCCTAGGATTTTGCTGTGCTATCTTGTGCAGGGGATTCCAAAAGATCGGGAAGATCAGCCCCTGAAATAACAAGGTGGGCCTGGAATGAACTCGGTGGGACGGGGTCTAAAAACACTTGGTTCCTGGGGGAAAGAGGTACAGTAGTTAAGGTTTCCTAACTCTGATTGACAGGAAACAAACTGTGGTGGGAAAATGTAAACCAGAAACCTTCCCCAACAAAAAAGAGGACAGGGGAGGAACAGACCATCCCAGGAGGAATTTAAGATGTGAACAAGGAGACCTGTTGGAGGAGGGAATGTTAGAGGACATGAGGATTCAATGGTTTTGAGTCAGGAGTCATTGGATCAGTTAATAAAGTTCTTCTATGTTATTGTTAAGAGCACATTTTGCAATCTGCCCTTTGTTTCTTCCCCCTTTGATTTTTTTTTTCCTTGAGGGGAGTTGGGGGGAGCAAACACCCTCTAACTTTGCCCTTCATGCTTGGATGGAAATGTCCCAGATGCCATGTTAATTGGGAAACCAAACAGAATGGTGCGGGGCAGGTCCTATGACTAACCTCAGATCAGCCCCATTTTTGAGTGATCTGGGAAGGCCACTCTGGACCACTGAGGAGGGGTGGATAAGGGGCAATACTGAGGAGGGGTGGATAAGGGGCTGACTGTAATATTTTCGGCAGACATAACACTTTCTAATTTTTGGCAGTGGCTGTGCTTGGCTGACCTTGTCTGGGCTCAAAAGCTAAGCAGGATCAAGTTTGGATAGTACTTGGATGGGAGACTTCTAGGATGCCTGATCCTGGGCTAGACTGGGAGATCAAAAACCATCCAAGAAGAAGGAAATGGCATAATGCTGCCAAGAAAACTACATGGATGTGTCGTTGAAGTCATCAGGAAGGAGAAGAGGTGTCCCCACCAACAGTCCTGGCTCACCCTCTTCATTTCTATTTTATGGCCGAAGCCACTCACCGCATTGCTGTAAGGGATTGTGGCTGGTTTCCATCGATGGCCAGGTTGTCGACTCTGGTTCTCGTAAACTTCCTCCAGCACTTCGGAATAGTTGGTCTCTTTGTCCAACAAGAGCCTAGCCAGAAGCATAATGCAACAGAAACTCTGGGCTGCTATCTACAGTAGGTGGGACATCCCCAGAGCTTGTCAAAAACATCAAGATGGCAATCATGACCATGCAGTTGAAGCCCACCCATTTGTTAAGTGTGTACCATGTGCAATGCATGTTAAAAGGGACAGAACTTCAGTTACATGGTCACAGCTGTCATCGTGATGTTTTCGACCTCCTCCTCCGGACCACCCTGATAGTGGGGATGGACAAATCCTTGTTTCTCTCACCTTCTTCCCTTTGAAAATATATTAAGCTTATTTGTTTTAGCACTTTCTCAGTGTTATGGATAGGTCACATTTGGTTTGCTAAGATTAAGAACTTTTTTCTAAGTTTGCATTAACATTTTATGCATTTTGATCACACGAATGTGCATTTTTGTTGGTCATTTGTACATGGTTTTTCCAAACATTTTTCCCTAACAATTTTTGATAGGGATTTTTGATTGTTTTCAGGTTTCTTCTTCTTCTTCTTCTTCTTCTTCTTCTTCTTCTTCTTCTTCTTCTTCTTCTTCTTCTTCTTCTTCTTCTTCTTCTTCTTCTTCTTCTT